TAAAACAACAATCATAAAAAAATAACACTTGCAAGTTGCAACAGACGACGAGTCCCCCACTTTCATGGTAGTGATCACTTCTATATTGTATGAGTTGATCTCAAGTCTGTTGCATCAGCTAATGCATGCCGCCTAGACCTGGGAATGGTTTGGACTCAAACTTCAATTTTGGATCAGTTTTCCTATTGGACTCTTTTGGTTTGGATAAAATGGGCTGAGTTCCTAATGTAAGTTGGTTTGATTTGGATTATTCCTATTACTGGTTTGGTTTGGTTCGGTCTGGTCACACACCAAACAATCCCAAACTATTTCAACCCATTGACTACGAACCAAATCGGCCACCAGCTTCTCCTCCTCACGGTTCGCATCGTAATGGCAACGTCCTCTCGTTGTTACTGCCCGGACCACGGACACGGCGGCGTGGCGGAACCAAAACCACCGTCTACGGGCTCAGGTCGTGCACTAGGAATATAAAAAAGGCGGGCTGGGCTGTGTGTAGAGCAGGTACCGGCCTAGAGTATCTACAACCGCACATGACAAATATGATCTCTTAAACGTCCGCGGATAGGGACCGGACATTCCTCTGCATCCGGACATTTCATATTAGATTCTTAAATTCATAAAAGCATGCAAACCATAAAACCTACTCCCTCCGTTCCTAAATATAACTTGTTTTAAAGATTTCATTACGGACTACATACAGAGCAAAATTAGAGAATATACACTCTAAAATATGTCTATATACATAATAATTTCTATTGAAATCTAAAAAACTCATATTTAGGAACACGGGAAGTATGTATACATAGATGATCTAGTTACTCCTCATCGGAGATGTCGACAATCTTCGTGCCTGGCTCTGACAGCATGGGCAGCAGCTGCAGCTCCGACGCCTAGCCTCCAACTGCTCCGCTCCGGCCTCCTCCTCCCCTATCTCCGCATCGAGTTCAGCGAAGAGCGCGTCGGCCGCCGTCTGGTACTGCAGGAGGAACTGTCAGTAGGCCTCCACATAGGCCTCATCCTGGATGGACTCCAGGCTGGCCTGCTGCTCCGCCATCTCCGCGGCTTGTGGACGGTGAACTCCGCCTCCTCCTCCGCCATATTGAACCCCGGAGCAGGCTGGTCCACCTCGTCCTCTTCCGGATCCGCCACCCCCATCGGCTCCGGCAGCAGCTCTCCCTCCTCCCCCGGCTGCTCCTCCTCCTCCTCCTCCGGCTTCATCGAGTTCGGAGGCATCCCGGCAGCGATGCGGGCGGCGCGCCTTGCCTAGACCGCCTCCTTGATCTGCCTCCGGCGCTCCGGCGTGAGCATAGCGTACGTGTTGATTAGCCGCCGGACCATGGCGATGCCAGAGAGCGTGGGATAGCGGGCGAGAGGCGGCGGACGGGCTCGAGTGGCGGCACAGAGAAGGAGGAGGTGGATGTGCTAGGGTTGGGGGACGCCGGCCGGCTTAAATAGCCGGATTTGGCCTTGGGCGGTGAGCCGAAGCGGCGCCACCCGACGTTCACACCACGACGACGACAGTGGCATCCTTCGGACCTCCAAGTTCTCGGCCGAGTCTGCGTGGGACCCCATCGTCAGTCCTACGGAGTGGACGCGCCCGGACGCCCCATACTCATATTATGGGCTAAAATATGAGGGGTGTCGGTCAGCCTGAGCATTTAAGGCCCGTTTGAGGTGCCCGTCTGGGTCGGAAATTCATGACTGGTCAGTGACCCGCCCGAGCGTATGAGGCGGGTTTGGGATGCCGGGCTATAGATGCTTTTAGAGGCAAGCATCTCGTCGACGTCTGCTTTCTGTTCCGTCTGGATACAGCGGTTGGCCTCCGTCTCCGACAGAAATGAATCGAGAATTGCCTGCTGTTTCGTCTGTAGATCTGTGTCACCCGTGTCTGCCACGTCTTCAGGGTTTTTTTTTGGATCGGTCAGTGACCGAGTCGTCCGCCCAGGCATTTAAGGGGGTTTAAGGCTTCCCGTCACGCATTGGTGAGCATAGTGAATCCATTTGTTGTAGGTATGGTGAATCAGTTGTGAGTGCGTGGCTAGCTTTACAATCCACATGCACGCATGCATGTTTCATTGGTCACAGCGATGGAAATTAGTAGGCATGCGGCAGCAGCTAACTACCCGCCCGACGCCTCTCTTACGGCAGTAATCAGACACTGGACACGCCCATGGTTTGAAACTTCGGGTATATAAACTGTATATAGAGAATGATCTGGATTGGTTTGGATTGAAAATATGTACAGTTTGGATTGGTTTGGATTGCACCCTTTGCTGTTTGGTCTAATCTGGTTTGGTTGCTGGACTTATACACGCATGGATTGGGCTGGGTTTAGTCTGGATTACAAACTATTCCCACGTTTACATGCCGGATTCTGACCAAACCTCAAGGATAGGGTCTCTACTATAAAAGCATCTTAACAATTTGCCGCTAATATGAACTTTTGTTTGCCATCCCTTAACACGACGGCAACATCATCAGGCAGTGAGTTAGGATCAAATAGTGAACAAGTCATTCTTAGAGGGACTCTAAGAAACAAAATTTCTAGTTTCATGCATCATAAGGGGTAATGATATGATTATTTGGGCATCAACACAGAGTTGAACGTCCCACTCTCCAGTGGATGGGTCAATCAGATCACACACCTGTGAGATGAGATGATTACATCTACTAGTAAGTACCATTTTTGTAGGGGATTGTGGTATGCAGGAATCTTCCCATATATTTGTTTTTTCTCCATTACCAACCCTCCAAATATGAGCACACTTGATCGTGTTAACTCTCGCCATCGCACTTTGCCAGGTGTAGCAGGATTTCTTTTTCAAAGTGGCATTAATTAAGTCATCATCCGGAAAATATTTCACTTTCAAAATTGTCATACATAAAGAATCAGGATTATCTATCAATCGCCATGCCTGTTTAGCAAGAAGTGTGAGACTAAAGCAATGAATGTCCCCAAATCCCGTTCTTCCTTTTCTTGGGGATACACATTTCCCACCAAGCGAACAAGTGCATCCTTTTGTGGTTTGCATCATCACCCCACTGAAATTGTGACATCACATCAGTAATTCCTTTGCAAGTTTTCTTAGGAATTTTGAAGAACGATATTGCATAAGTTGGTATTGCTTGTGCAACCGACTTAATTAAAACATCCTTCCCACCTCAAGATAGGATCTTCTCTTTCTAACCAGTCAATCTCTGAATGAGACTATTAATCAAATATTGGAAGCCGTCACTTTTATCCAACCCTAAGGTAGTCGGCAACCCCAAATATTTGTCATTCGTTGCTTCACTCATAATGTTTAGTATAGAACAAACTTGAGCCTTCATATTTAGGTCAGTGCTTGGTGCATCTCTTCATAGCTTCACTCCCATAAGATTTTTCACTCTCTTCAGCAATGATGTCAATCCCTCCGTGCAAAGAAGAAAAAAAGAGAGGATAAAGGACCCCCTTGCCGTAACCCCTATAGGGTTTAAAGGCATTTGTTTCCTCTGAGTTGTATCTCGCTCTATATTCCACTGATGACACATGTCATCTCTTGATTGTGCATCAAGGTAATATCTTTGCGTAAGTTGTAACCAAAAAAATCATCTTCCTAAATCGTGTAGGACCAATCCAGCACTTCCGCATACCGATCCGAAGAAAAGCATGGACGGTGAAGCAAATCTTCTTCAACGATTATACATCCTAATGCATGGCATATTCTTCAACACTAGCGGAGTGAGCACGTGCACTTGAGTCTATCTGAATACCAAAGCGTTGCGAGCTCCCAAACTTTTTTGGAGGACCATCAGAATGAGGAATGTAGCATTTTCCAGCAAAGTTTTGTGATGGGGATTCTGCTTAGCGTTTAATCTGTTCAACTTAACGGAAGGAAGTCCATTGGCCGCAACAGCGGTCAGCCACTTACGCAACCCTAACTCGATCCCGCCATGCATAACATTTGCCTCAAAATCACTTTTGGTCCAAGTGGTGAGAGTAGAGAGCAAGCCTGACGATGTGAGCACGGGCATGTGGGTTCAGAAGTTCAGCAAGGACTCAGCTGGCCGGTAGGACTCAGCTTCGACGGCTACTACACCGCGCATTACCAGTCGCCACAGCACATGATCTGCCTCTGGAGGAAGCTGCATTCCCGTAGCGCTCAATGCTGCAACTCCAGATGACAATGAACTGTTTGGTTATCAGGAAGCAGCTTTGGCTTTCCGGAGAATCAAACAGAAAGGATGAGTTTGATTTGAATTAGCAGATGACAATGAACTGCTTGGTACAGTACTAATTAAGCAGCAGCGCTGGCTCTCCGGAGAATGAAACAGCGAGGATTATTCGCACATTCTTCTGGCCAGTGGCTGATTCAGCTGTTGATGCTGAATTGCTGACACTATGTACATGTGTCAATTATTTTTGATCTAGGAACTGACGGCGTGTTCATCCCACTTGTACATCGGCTGTTCTTATACCAGTCCATTGTTTTGTGCATTCAGAAACCGCACCTTCCGTTCAGCGGAAATTCAAAGTGGGGCTAGGCTCGAGCCCTATCTCGAGCTCGGGTTAAGCCTTTCTTCTAGAAAAAGAGAATAGAAGATAATAGCTGCTGCTCCTGTGTAGTGTATGTATTGTCGATTCCACCTGCAAATCTGGTTATCCTGACAAGTATGTAGCTTGTTGTCACCATTCTCAAGAACAGAGTGACTGAAAAGTATTGCAAGCACGGCAGCAGCAACTTCTTCAACAAAGTTCTTACAATTTGCAAGCACAACAGCAACATCTTCCCAAACGAAGTTCCATACAACAATAGTAAGACCAGCAGTACAAAAACTTTCTTAAAATATCTAAACAAAGTTACTACAGAACAAAAGCTTCCTAAACAAAGTCCCTACACAGCTCCAGAGCTGAATTTGTGCCATATCTAACATCACCGCTACTACTATCACCTCCCGACTAATCCACAAGAGCTTGCTCCATTAACTTGAGCTTGAGAAAGACGTGAAACACCAGCTCACTGCCCCTTGCCAAAACAAGCTGCTTCCATTGCTGCATAAATGCAAGAAAATCACAACATCAAATCAATTGATTGACGAACCAGGCTCAACTGAATGTACATTTTGCTTACTCACCGATCACAAGGACCGACAAGGCTCACACACACACACACACGCACACAC